CTCCAACTCCTGGGCTCAAGCGAGTCTCCTGCCTCTGCCTCCCAAGTAGCTGGGACCACAGGTGCCCGCCACAATGCCCGGCTATTTTTTTTGGTCACAACTGTCATTGTTGTTTGGTGGGCCCAGGCTGGATTTGAACCCGCCTCCTTAGGTGTATGTGGCTGGCGCCTTAGCCACTTGAGCCACAGGCGCTGAGCCTGTAACAATATTAAGAGGTGGGCACTTTAAGAGAGATTCAGTCACAGCGTTTTGCCCTCATGAATGGATTAACATCATTATCCAATAGTGGTTATTTATTTTGGGATGTGGGCTCTTTTTTCCCTTTCTTCCTCCCTACCCCATGTGATGCCTTCCACCATGCCTTTGATGCAGCAACAAAGCCCTCAATATTGGATTTCTCAGCCATCAGAACTGAGAATAAATATCTTTTTTTTTTTTTAATAAATTACCCAGATTGTGGTATTCAGTTATAGTAGCAAGAAAACTGATAGAGAGAACCCCTACTTTAAACCTCTTTAGCACAATGTGCTATCAGAATAGGTGAATAGTAAAAAGTAAATTGCTATTGTTGATATTTATGACCTGGTTTCTGTTCCTATAATCCCAGACGGTACTGTGTTCTGTAGTACTGTTACGGGACTGTAAATTGTGGAGTCGACTGTGATTGTAGCAGTTAGTTTCAGACCTTCTGGAACCACTGCAAAAGACAACATCAGACTGTGCAGATTAAGAATGGAAAGGGGCCACGCCTGTAATCCTTGCACTCTGGGAGGCCAAGGCAGGTAGATGGCCTGACACAGGTTGGATACCAGCCTGAGCCAGAGCAAGATCTGTGTCTAAAAAAATAGCTGGGCTTTGTGGCGGGCGCCTGTAGTCCCAGCTACTTGGGAGGCTGAGGCAAGAGAATCTCTTGAGCCCAAGAGTTGGAGGTTGCTGTGAGACTCTGTCTCAAAAAAAAAAAAAAAAAAAAAAAGAAAAGAAAAGAAAAGAAGTCCCTAAACAATTTCAGAATCTGATCTTTGGTGACCAATAAGCTCAGCCACAGATGATGAGACTTTCAAATTTTTTAAAAAGAGTCCAGCTTTTCTTCCTATTGTAAACATCTAGTAAAATCTATGCTCACTTTGGGGTGGATCTGTAGGAAAGCACACTCATTTCAACACCTTGCTGGGGTCTTCAGTTTCCGGAAATGAATTATCAGCAACGGAAAGCTGCTTTTTGGTATCTCCTAGCAATTCCAAGGGGTTTTGATCTTCATTTCTAACTTAGACTAACAACATACAAAATTTCTCTAATTTTACACTCCAATTTCTTTGGCTGTATCTGTAAATTCAGAGTGTAGTGTGCTTCGTAAAAAACACAACACTAAAAAATAAGTCCTTTTTCACATCTACGAAGAACAGGTCTCACACCCCGCGCTGTCTGCAACCTCTGGCTGCAGCCAGTCTACTTGCAGCTTGGCTCCGCCCCTTAACCGCTGCCCTGGGGGTTGGCAGCTGGTTGCTAAATTGGCCAGCAGTAGAGAGGCGGGACTTCCGCTATTTGAAAAACTTCCGGCGGGAACCGGAAGGTGTGGTGCCGCACAGAATCCCGTGTCTTCTGAAGAGCCCGGCGGGAAGGTGAGCTGTGCGGGCGTTTTGGCGGTGTTCCTGCGGGCTCTCACGAGCCCAGGGTTCGGGCTCCAGTATTTTGGGGGCCATCAAAAGAGTTATGAGCACTTATTTGGAAAATATCACCCCCCCCCTTTTAAAAGTGAGAAGTATCATTCAATTTTCTGCCAGCGTCTGTGTCTCACAGCCTGCCCCCGGAGATAACCTAACTGCCGCGTGTCGCCGGGCGCGTCTTCTCAATCGCAGCATCTCGTGGGGCAGAGGAACAGACCTGGGAAAGCCCAGGCAAAGCTAGATCGGTTTTATCTCTCAGATCGTCGAAGACCGGGGAGAGTCACCCTTTTTATTGTCAGATCACGTCTCTGTCTCAATCAACCGCGTCTTGAGCGGCGCGCCTGGCGTTTGGGAAGCGCTGAAAAACTGTTGAGGAAAGGAATGATGGGAGCGCTCCAGACAACTTTCCTCGTCCTCTCACCCGACAGCGTGTAACGTGTAGGGAGTGGGAAAGAATGCTGGTCTCGGTGTTTCAGGCGTTTTCCTTTGCCGTATTATCTCTTCGCTTTGAGTAAACCGTTCCAACTCAGTGGATCTCAGGCTGCGGTGTATAGCAAGACTGATTGACGAGCTCTTTCCAGCTCTAGTATTTTGTTTTTGTAACTTAGGAATCTGTGTTAGCATTCCAAGCACTGCTCTTGATCCTTCGGGAAAACGTCTCTAGGTCCCCCTTAAGATTTTCCTCTCTGGCGCGGCGTCTGTAGCTCAGTGAGTAGGGCGTCGGCCCCATATTCTGAGGGTGGCGGGTTCAAACCCGGCCCCGGACAAACCGCAACAAAAAATAACCGGGTGTAGTGGCGGTCGCGTGTAGTCCCAGCTACTCGGGAGGCTGAAGCAAGAGAATCGCCTAAGTCCAAGGAGTTGGAGGTTGCTTTGCTGTGAGCTGTGACGCAACCGTACTCTGCCGAGGGCGACGGGAATGAGACTCTATTAAGGAAAAAAAAAAGATTTTCCTCTCTGTTCTCCTTGGATTTTTATTTTTATTTATTTATTTACTTTTTTTTTGTAGAGATGGAGTCTCACTTTATCGCCCTTGGTAGAGTGCTGTGGTGTCACAGCTCACAGCAACCTCCAAACTCTTGGGGCTTAGGCGATTCTCTTGCTTCAGCCTCCAGAGTAGCTGGGACTACAGGCGCCCATCACAACGCCCAGCTCATTTTTTTTGTTGTTGTTTCAGTTTGGCCCAGGTGGATTCAAACCCACCACCCTCCACCCTCCGTATGTGGGCCGGCCCCCTACTCACTGAACCATAGGCACCGCCCACCTCCTTGGGTTTTTAAATCGTTGTTTTTCCAATTTCAGTTTAACATTTATGTGTGTGCCGGTACTTCTGGCCTTTTCCCTTGATTTTCATATGTCCTAGGTTAATACCGCTTTCCTTATTAACATCACAGCGACCTCAGGATTATTGATTTGGGTTATGTTTTTTTTTTTTTTT